CCTTCCATGGGCAGAGCCTTTTGCAGGCTGCAGACTAATTTCATGGTCAAGTGGTCCAATGCAGGAGGCCGGGAGAGCAGTGGCTCTCTCAGCCAGTGGCCAGAGGTCCAGCTGTGAAGTACAGGAACTGTGCTCAGCGCCTTGCCAATGCTGTTGTCTCATGGAGCCCACATGTGGCCTTGCTGCTCACAGAGAAGGAGATTGAGGCCCAGAGAGGCAAGGCGCTGGCCCAGGGTCACACAGCCAGAAACTGACTCAGTGTCAATGTATAGTCATCTGATCCCCCAAGCCTAGTGCTGTTTACCCACAGTGCTCACTGCCTCCCAGCTGTGGAAGCAGCTCAGAGATGGGATGTAAGGGGTGTGAGGTCGGTCACACTGTGGATTTGAGTCGAGCCAGGGCAAGCACTGGGTCTCCTGACTCTTGGTCCACGGTGCTTTCTGCTGCCCGCCCCACATCTGTGGGCAACTACAAGTCCCAGCTCTTCTTCCCACAGAGGAGGGGGGCTGCTGATAACTGCTGTCTGGGAGAAGGGTGCTAACCAGATGGTTTCCTTCCTCTCTCAGGACCAAGCCAGGGCCTGGGCGGACCTTGGATCAGTCAGACCTGAGGCTGCACTTTTGCTGGGGAAGGTGCTGAAGCCAGGAGCAGGCTCTGCAGGAGGATGGAGATTCTTCCCTCTGACTGGGAGCTTCCCAGGGAGCACAAGGCCCCTTTAGGGCCAGAATGACTTCAGCCTAAACACCACCTCAACCCACTGTGTGGCCCTGGCAGAGTCACCTGACCTCTCCAGACCTCAGCTTCCTCATCTACAAGGAGATCATAACACTGATTTCAAAAACTTGCCATGAGGATTCCAAGGTGTGGGAGGTGCCAGGCTCTATGCCTGCATGGGCTAGGTGTTCAGGGACAGGGACCACTGTGACTGTATGGTCCTGAATGCTGTGAATTCAGGGTCTCCTGCTTGGACCCTGAATTCACAGCATTCAGGAACATACAGTCTCGGTGGTGGACTGCATGACTTCAGAACTTGTCACTAGAGGCCTCTGTGCTCTCAGGGGGTCACAGAGGGAAGCAGAGATACTCCTCCCTGCTTGCAATGGAGAAATGCCACCTGGAGGAGCCACACGATGTCCTGCAGGGGCACCTGAAGCGAAGGCTGGGGGGCTGGTCTAGTCTCACACTTGGGAGCAGGTCTTCAGTGAGCTCCTCTTCCCTTTCACCAGGACGTCTCAGCCCCACTGCCTACCCAGGGCTGGGCACTGGGGGCAGAGCACAGGATGGTAAAACCTTTCCCCAGCAGAAAGTGCAGCCTCAGGTCTGACTGCTGGGGCCTGAACAATCTCCGATGAACAAACAAAACACAAACAGATCACTCACAGGAGAGGGCCAAGTGGCAGGGCTTCAGCACAAAATGCATGGCTAGCACTTGGAAGATAGGAAGAACCTGGGAAGGCTGCCTGGAAGAGGTGGAGTACAGAATACCCCTGAAAGAAAAGTGTTGAGGAAGGGCATTCCAGGAAGGGAGAAAAGAGGGGGGCAAATGCCCACAAGCAGGATAGTACACATTCCTTCTGGGAATGCTGGGATCTGACTGGAGGGAACAAAAGGCCCAAGTTTGGAGTAATGGGGCACAAGCAGTTTCCAACCTCTCCAGGCTGTACCACTTTCTAGATGTGTGGCTAGTTATGTGCCGCGTGAGCCTCAGTTTCCTCATGTATAAAGTGGAGGTAAAAACAGTCGCTGCCTCTGGGGTTGCTGGTGAGCATGACATGATATCAGCCTCATAAAGCACTCAGCGCAGTCGCGGCGTGCAGTAAGTATCAATCAGTGGCAGCCTCTGTTTGGAGCTGGGATTTTCTCCAGGCACTGGGGAGCCACAGGCAGATCCTGGGCAGGAGGTGGTGTGATCAGATTTATGCTTTAGAATGGCATGGAGAAGGGGTAGAGTCCAGAAGGAGGGAGACAAAGAGGAGGTCTGAGCAGCTGCCTGGGGCCAAAGGAAATGGCCAGTGGCTGACCCCTACTTCACAGAGGAGTCCCCAGATCTGATGGCCAGGTCCCAGACCCCAGACCCCAGCCCCAGCAGCATGACCACTAGGGGGTTGCCATGGCCCCCCATCGCCCTCAAACTTTCCTAGCCCTCAAACTTTTCTAGCTGCTGGGGGTTTAGAAGGATATCTTAGGAATCTAGAAAATTTGCAAATCCATTTAAATCTCCAAAGGTTGCCTGGCGGCTGACTGGCCTAAAACCAGACTGACTCTTAGAAACACAGCTTGGGCCGCGAACTGGAGAACTGGAACTGCGGAGTGGGTCCTGCGGTCCTCGTCCCCTGCTTTCGGTGTACCTGCCTATCTTCTCCCAATTCCCCTCTCCTGCCAACCCCCCCATTGACTGTGCTGTGATTTGGAGGCCCCCACTCAGCACTCAGAAACCCCTGGGGATTGTTTTATGAAGGCAGGAGCAGCAGGGATGATGAGGTGGAGGCCCCTCACCCCAGAGCAGGGGAAAGGAGAGAACTGGCTCCTCCAGCCCTGACATCACCCACAGTCTCCCAGTCTCCTCTCATCCGGTTTTCTTCAAAATATATTCCATTTGTTTTACCTACTCAAAGAGACACAGGCTAGGGCAAAGGGACAGGGCATGGGGCTAGGGTTCCCACCCCTCCCAGCACTTACCTTGCTGCCGATGGCTTCTGGTGTGGGCACAGTTCCAGGCTCTGGACAGTCACCCCCTCCAGGAAGTCCTCCTTACTGCTGTCTCCCCGTTATCAGAAAGACTGCTGGTTCCAGAGTGTGTAATAGCTGGGTAGAAGGACAGGCAGGACCGTTGCAGGCTCCTGAAGGCTCAGGAGAAGGAAGGGACGGAGGGAGAGGGCTGCTGCAGGGGTGAGGAGCAGCCCAGCTTCGCCTCACTCCCCAAGCATCCTCCAGGAGGAGCAGAGCTGCCAGAGGGGCCGCCCTGAGTCTGGCTGTCTGTGTTGGGCAGGGCGGGCACAGGCTGCTGCTGGGCAGCTGGGCTGAGGGGCTGGCTCTCTCCTCCTCCTCGTTGATCTCCTCTCTGGCTCCAAGTTGCTCACAGAGCGATCCTGGGTCCCAGATAGGGCGGGCGGTCACTGCTGGTTGCTGGCAGCCCCAGAAACTCACACCACCGTGGGCTTTCCCGCCCGCCCCCTCCCCCTCGCCACTTTGGGGGAAAGGCTGCAGGGTGGCTTCTGATTGGCCCAGCTGGGGAGAAGGGGGGCAGTGGGGCAGGGAGGGTGAACGCGTGCGTCTGTTTTCAATTTCAGTTTTTTTCCCCTCTCTTTCTTTTCCCCCAAGTTTCTTGTTTTTCTTCTTTTCCCTCTGCTTGCCTCCCTCTCGTCGCCCGTTCTCTCAGGATGTGAGGGGATGCTTAGAAATTCCACAGCCCACGCCAGCCACCAGTAGCTGAGTCACTTTTATCAAAGAGTGGCCTGGGCCCCACTTGCCCAATGCCCATCTTGGGTGGTGGCCTCCCCTTTTCATGACACCCAGGGGAGAGTCATTTCTCAGTGCCTCGGTTTCCCCATCTATAAAGGAGATTCTGATCATCTCTGTGGTTGATTCAGTCAACATTCATTCATTGAGCAAGCATACTGAGCACTTATTACCTTCCAATACTGTACTGAGTGCCAGGACACAGTAGTAAGACATGGTCCTGACCTCAAGCACCCAGGCTAGTGAGTGAGACATTCAGTGGGCAAGCAGGTACCCGGTGGGCAGACAGAAAGCTGAGAGTGCATTTAGAGGGACTCCTAATGGAGGCCTGAGAGAATCAGAGAGCACTGCTGAGAAGAGGTGGCATGGAAGAGATGGAAAGATCCTCCAAGCTGATCAGTCATTTTTCAGAAGGAAAAACCAAGGCCCAGGGGTGAATTGGCACAGAGAGAGAATGTGATTTGGTCAAGGTCACCCAGCACAGATTGGATATATCCGGATATTGACAGACATATTCCTTTTTGAATCTCAAAGCCCCTTGGGTGCAAGGAGAGGATTATTTACCCCATTTTATAGAAGGGGACACTGAGTCCCAGAGGAGCAAAATAAGCTTTCCAAGCGCACACAGCAATGGCAGAGCTGGGGCAGAACTAGATCTCATGAGTCACATGATAGAAGGGACACAATTCATCTGACCCCCACCCAAGACTCCCCGATTCCAGTGTAGATGAGCCCCCAGCCCTGCTTTCTTCCTAGGTTCCCCCTGTGGCTCTTTCCTTCAGTCACTCAACAAGATAATTTCAAGTATCTGTTTTGTTCCATTTCCATTCTCTGGCTCTCCTTTCCCACCAGGGTTTGCCAAGACTCCTCCAGTGCCCCGGGCTGGGTCTCTTCTTCCACCTTGGGCTTCTCAGATCAAGGACATCTTCATTTACAGACTCCTAGCCCGCGGATGGCAAAGGGCATTATTTCAGAAGGGCATATACTGTGGGCTCGCCATCCCTGCTCCCACTACTGTGCATATGGAGAACTGAATCCCAGAGGGTGAAGAAAGGTGTCCCAGGTGACACAGGTAGAGGCGCCTCTGCCCTCCTTCCACTCTCCCCTCTGCACTGCTAAGTCCTTCCTCCTCAGATTCCCCCAGGCCCATGTTCACAGAGCAGGGCATTTGCCTGAGCTGGAATTCCATGCCAACCACAATCATCTATCTTGCAATCATTTCTTGGTCTAGTCCCAATAGGGATTGCCCAGCAGAGAATCTGGCCTGGACCACACGGAAAAAGAAGTGTTTTCAGACTGGCTCCCCGCCACGGGGTGGGGACGATAAGAGTACCCAAGAGAGGGGGCCTGGCCAGGTCTTTGTGGCAGCAGGGTCATAGGGAATGTGAAAAGATCCCACAGGGCACAAGCACAGGGATTTCTTGTGCCCAAAGACTCCGTCAGAAATGTACAACTCTCCTCCTAGCATCTGCCTGGGCCATTCACCTCTGAAGCCTTGGCTGAACCTCTGTGGCCAAGACAGCCACAGAGGACCTATTTTTTTTTTTTTTTTTTTTTTGCATTTTGCACTTTATTTAACATTAACAAAAGTCTACATATAGTTACAGGCAAATGACAATTCAGTACACTTATTTACATAATAGTTTAAAATTTACATCCTTCACCGCCATGAAATATTTTAGTCTATGTAGTCAAAGTCTTCTGGAATTCCAAAAGTTTTATCAATTTTATTTTCTTCAAACCCAAATTTTCTTTTGGCCCAAGATTTTATTGCAAATATGTTATCAGTCCACCTGTTAGCAGCTTCTTTGGCTACTTTATTTGCTTGGCGTATTTCTTCCACGACTTGTGGGTCACAATCTTTGTATTTTTCTACTTCTGCCTTTAGCTGTTCCCTTTGGTCTCGAAGTGAAGAAAGTTCTTTTGCTAGCATGGTTCGCTCTTCCGTTTCATATCGGCCAATTTTAGCTTTTTCAATGCTTTTCTGTAGGCTTGCATGCTTTTGGCTTCCCTCAGACAACTGAGATTTCAGAGTCTCCAACTTACGCTTCTTTGCATGAAGAGCTTTACTTGGAAAAGCCCAATAATAATTAGAAGTTCCGATCCTCTCACAGTCAACCATACTATCATCAACTAAGCTTTGAAGGACTTCTTTTACTGACATAGAAGACACACCAACCCCTAGTCCCAAAAGAAGCTAGTCTGGGGGTCAGAAGACCTAGCCACAGACTTATTGGGAGGCCTTGAATAGGTCCCCTGTCCTACCTGAGTCTCGGTTTCCCTAACTGTGTATAGCAGGGATGGACTTGCTGGGCAACAGGCTCTTGGGATGTTCTGCCTGCAATTTACCTTAGAGCTGGACTCTAGCAAGAGAGAGGAGGATGGTGTGCCCTAGGGCGGGGGTATAGCTGGGGGCCAGACATGCAGCACAGAGGGGAGGGGCAGTTGGCGGTGGCTCCCCTGGGAAGCTGGCGGCCTCCAGTTTCCGGCCAGCCCAGCCGTCCTAAGGCCCATCTGGAATTACTTAGCCCCTACCACCATTAACCCTTGGTGGGCACCAGGACTGTTCCTCCTCCTCTCAACTGAGATATGGGCGGGAGGTGCAGAGCCACAGGGAGCACCCCAGGGCACTCGCCAAGGGCAGGACAATGGAGGCAAAAGTGTCATGATCGAGAGGGGAGGTTGGAGAGCTAGAGATGGAGTTGGGTTCGAATCCCAGCTGCTCCATTTTCAAGCTACATGAGCTTAGGCAAGTCACTGAAACTCCTGGGCCTTGGTTTCCTCCTCTGGAAAATGGAGATAAGTCAAAGACTGATTCATAAGCCTCTTAGGTTTGTAAGAAGGACTTAGTACATTGCCTGGAAGTCTTATTACTGAAATGGTGAGTTCCCTCATTTGAGCAGCATTCCAACACAGTGTCTCCTGGGCCGAGCCCTCCCTTCTCTGGGCCTTGGTTTCCCTGTGTGCACTCTGAAGAAATAGACAATGGACGGGGCACATGGGCAGTGCAGTGCTGTTACCCTGGGGTGGTCAGAGTGGCCCCCAGCCCCACTGTGGACAGGACAAGCTATGAGCATCCTCACACCTGCCCAGATCTGGGGAGCCCAGTCCAGCCTTGGACAGTGCTGTCCTGGGGAAGGCTGGGCTGAGAGTAGGTGGGCAGAGGATGAAGTGTGAGGAGCCCTGCCTGAGGTGGACTTGGATGAGGTGCAGTGGGAGGGGGGGCTCTGGGCTGTAGGGTTCCACACTGCCCTCCCCACAGCACGGTGGCACACTCAAGAATTAAATGTCTGGACTCTGATGTTGGCAGCTTCAACCCAGCTCCACCACTTCCCAGGTGTGTGACGATGGGCAATGACATTGCCTGAGCTCCCTGAGCCTCAGTTCCTTCAACTGTTAAATGGGAACACATGCACCTACCTCACGGGGTTATGGAGAGGCCTGAATAAACCATGCCCCTAGGCATTTTGTCAAGTCCTAGAGCAGAACAAGAAAGTGCCACAAAAGGTGACTGATCCTCAGGTGTCACAGAAGTCCACCATCAGGGCTGGAGGGAAGCTCATCCGACATGCTCATTTCACAGCTGCTATGACTGACGCCAATGATGGAAAAAAACTTGGGCAACGCCTTGCGATGTGTCAGCCACAGACTGGGACTGGAACCTCGGCTTGCTGTCTAGACTCATAGGCCCATGCTCTTCCCCAGAGGAGTGAGCCAGGCTGAGCAGACCCCTGTGCTAAGACCCCCCCTTCCCACCCACGCTTGTCAGAGCCGGAAGCTGCAGCTCGCAGTGGGGCAGGGGGAGGGAACCGGAAAGGGAATCTGAGTGGGAGAATTCCCAGGAGGCTGCTCAGCCCTCACTCAGGCAGGCCAGCGGCCACCACATCTGGCTCTCCCACGCTCCCAGCTCTGCCCCCACTTCCAGGCTCCCCAGGCAGGGTTGTAGGATGGGGTGGGGGTGATGAGGAAGCAGCACACATATCCCTGGTGCTGACACAGTCATCTTAGACTCTCTTAGCTAGCCAGACTATAGCCACCGAGGCCTGCCAGGATCCCAGGAGATAAAGGCTTCGAGACATTGACCGTTCAGCCTCTCCCCACTGAACGGGCCTTGCTGGCCTCCCTCTCAGTGCCCCAGGACCGTGGGCCACTGGAGTGTGTCCCGTCTGGTACACGCAGACGGCTCACAGATCCCTAGAAGAGTGGGGACCTCACCCTCACTGGATGCACTGGCTCCTAAGGTCCACAGAGCGCCAGAACCTGCTTGAGGGTACATAGCAGGCCTGGGGGTGGGGGCCTCTCACTCTAACACCCAGGCCACCCGGTTCCTCCTACCATCCATCCATGAACAGAAATTAATTGGGGACCTACTGTGTGCCCTGTCCTCACGGTGTTCACAAGCAAACACCCAGGAAACCACAAATTAATCATGGCAAATTGTGAGTGTGATGAAGGCAGAGAGAATGCGCTGGGTGGATTGTTTAGGTACAGTAGGGCTTCTTGTTTAGGTACAGTAGGGCTTCTGTGAGTAGGGCTTCTGGGAGTTCTTGTTTAGGTACAGTAGGGCTTCTCTGGGGAAGGAACAGGCCTGTGAGGCCACACATGTGCAGGAGCAGGACCAGTGATCGAGGCAGGGGGAAAAGCATCTGCAAAAGCTTGGAGGCCAGAGAGATGTTGATGTGTTTCAACAAAGAGAAAAGAATGGCTGGAGCAGAGAGCAGGCTGAGTGGGGTGGAAGATTGGCGAGGTGGTCAGCGGCCAGGCTTCAGGGCCTTGTGGGCCCTAGGGAGTCTGGCTTTTATCCTGAGGGTCAGTAGGAGACACTGCAGGATTTTAAACAGGGGACTGATGAGACCAGGTCACCAAGGTGCACTATGGACAATGGACTAAAGGGGGCAGCAGGGAGGCAGGGGGCAAGTGTGGAGGTTGCAATGGTCGCCCATGGACTGAATGCTGTACACACACGCACCCCTGCTCCGTGCTGCCCCCAATTATTCATCCACCTGAGAGGCTGCAGGAATGCATCTCAATGGGGAGTTTGGGCTTCTGGGTCCCAGACTGCACCTGGCCAGTTGACTTACAGTATAGCCTTCCTTTCCTGGGTTCTGTCTTCTCTGCATAGGGGGTCAGACATGGTGCTCCTCTGATAAGGATATCTATACCCTGGGTCTCTGGTTCTAGCATCCACTCTGCTCCCTAAGTGTCTGTGTCCTGGGGACTACCACCCTTCCCTACACCTCTGTTTCCCTAGGACAATCAGTGACATCCAGGCATTCACTGAGACAAGGCAACTACAGGTCAGCGAGTCCTCCAGCAGTACCCAGGAGTGCCAGCAGGTGGCGCCCCCAGCCCCTAGAGGGGCAAGAGGGGAAGAGGAAAGGTGTGGGAAGGAGAGAGGTTTCTGGAGGGCAAAGATGCCTCACAGGAGCCCCCCACATCTGTCCCAATCCGGAGGTGAGCGGGGCAGGAATTAACACCCCGGATTCTGAGGTGGAAGCAGGGACTCAGAGGGGAGTTAACGTGTCCAGGGTCACAGAGCGAGACTGAGGCTTCGCTGGAATGTACCCCCAGTCCAAAGCCCTTGCACTACAATCCAGAGAGAGCTTCAAGAGGCTGGCAGTGGGGCATAGTGGGCCTGTGCCTGAGAGTTGGCCCTGGTGCCCACCAGCTTCTCTTAGGCAACCTATTTCCAACAGAAAGCTGAGCCCAGAAACTTGTCTCTTCTAAGGCCATAAACCTGATTGAAAAACCAAGTTATCACTAAGATCTTTATGAGGCCATCAGCTCTGTGCCCCACCCCAGGAGGCCCTGGCTGTGTGTGTGAAAACAGCCTGGAGGGAGGGCTTCCAAGGGGAAGAGGGGCCTACCCGGGAGCCAGAGGAAGGAGGGGTCCAATAAACAGCCACTCCCAGGGACAGGGGCTGTCAGAGAGGAAGAGGCTGACCACAGAACAGGGCAGACAGGGCCTTCTCCACACACAGAGCCACACTGGGCTGCTATCCCAGGCAACCAGACCCAGTGAACACAGGGGGAGACTGAGGCCCAGGGGCTCAGGGTCACATGCTGAGTCAGAAGCCAAGGTCAGGGAGGACCTGCAATTTCAGACTCCCAGCCTGGGTCTTTTCAACAAGGTTACAGTTTCCTGGTGGGGGGAAGCTGGGGGTGCCACATCAGGACTTCCACTGGGGGTCCACCTAGGGGTGAGGACGAAGGGAGTGCAGAGGCTTTTTTGCATGAAGAAGTCAAAGGAGGAAGAGGAACCAACTATTTGTTTAAGCAAAATTCCAGCTAACAAACTAGGGGGCAGGGAGGCACACACAGCTCACTGTCTTGGCAGTGGGAGCCATATAGAGAGGAAAGAAAAACTACCAGATAGGACATTGACTTCTGTGTGACTTCAGGCAGGTGACTTCGCTTCTCTGAGCTCCAGCTTCCTCCCCCTGCAAAATGGGGCTAACAATCAACCCCACCTCCTTGTGCTACAGTGAGGATAACACATGCAAAGGACTTGGCCTGACGCCTGGCACTGAGTAAATGCTTCATACATAGTAGTGCTATTGTTATTGTTATTATTACTCCAGCAGGAAGTCAAGGACCAAACCCTGCAATCTCAGAGAGAACTGAGCTAGGAGTCAGAAAGCCCAGTACAGGGGAATCCACAGGAAGGCTGGGGGTCTGCCCCAGGATGTATCCTTGGAGTGGGGCATCCACCCTGGGAGGCCACACTACTGAGGGACCACAGAGCCCTGGAGGGGGTCCCCAGCCCTTGGGGATCCTTGGCCTGATCAGGAAAACAGTCTTTGCTCTGCTGGGAAAGGACTGCCACTTTGGCCCCCATCTCTCAGCCACCGCCTAGTCCTGGCCACCATCTCCATCACTCCTGGACCCCTGCCTAACTTCCTGCTGCTTTCTGGCGCCCTGCTCTCCTCTGGCTCATTCTCTGCACACCAGTCACAGCTATCTTCCCGCCACTGCCCTCCACCACTCTAAGCCCTAGATAATGCCCTCCCACGTCTCTCATCAGGCTTGTCCCACCAGGGCCTGCTCTGCCCCTTGCCGGACTCCTCTCCTGCCGCTCCCGCTCCAGACTGGCCTTTCAGTGCTAGGGGAGCAAGTGTCCCCCTAGGGCCTCAGGGCCTCTGTTCATACTGACCCTTGGCCCCTGACGCTCTTCCCCACTCCCTGGGGCCTTGATTCACATGTCAGTTCCTCCTGCAAGGTTTCCCTGACTCCTCCCTCTGGGCCAAATCTCCCTATTCGTGGCCCTTGCCAAGATGTAATTTTACCTTTATTTGTGATTATTCCATTCATACCTGTCCACCCCACCAGACCCCAACTCTAAGCACTGCAAGGGCAGGGCCTCACTCAGTACCCAACATAGTGTCAGCACAAAGGAGGTGTGTTAAAATCTATTTTTCAAATGAATGAATACATTAAAAAAATGAATTCGTATGCCTATTTCCTATCTATCTATCTATCTATCTATCTATCTATCTATCTATCTATCTATTTATTTATTTATTTGAGATAGGGTCTCGCTCTGTCACCCAGGCTGGAGACCAGTGGTGCAATCTTGGCTCACTGCAACCTCCACCTCCCAGGTTCAAATGATTCTCCTACCTCAGCCTCCCAAGTAGCTAGGATTACAGGCACCTACCACCATGCCTGACTACTCATACGCCTATTTCCAACCTTTAAGCCTACCAGTTAGTCCTGACAGAGCATACTCTTGAAATTAGAGGGCACCTGGAAAGCACCCTTCCCCCAGGATAGGCATCCTTTCTCTGGCATCCCTAACTTGAGACCAACCTCCAGCAGTCACTTCCATACCTCCTGCGATGATGAGCTCACTCTCTCTCATGACAGCCCATTTCCTGACAGAAGGCCCCTTACAGAGCACTTTCCTACATATGGGTGGGCTGAAATCCATGTTGTAGCCTGCAGCTTCCTCCCTGAGGTCCTGTCTTCCTCCCCAGACTTAGACCCCATTCCAGGTCTTCTCTTCCTTCAGTCCAAGCAGTCCCAACTATCTCAGCTCAGAAAGTGGAAGTCAGTCCTCTTGGGCCTCTTCTCCCTCCTCTATGCACTTGCAATTTCCTACCAATCCCTTGAAAACTGGAGTCCTAAGCAGAGCCCAGAGCTCCAGATGACATCTGAGAAACATTTCAGCACCGCATCCGCTTCCTGACCTGTGAAAGTGGGATAGTCCCTGCTGAGGCAGCCATGCTCATCTGTGTCATGTGCTGACCCACACACATGTGGACAGCCATGTGCTCCTGCAAGGTAGCCAAGGGCTCCACCCGGTCAGCAACAGCCAGGATCTTCCCTCCCCTCTCCTACAAGCAGCCTCCATTTTACTGCAAACACTGGGCACTACCCCTTTTCCTTTCTGAGCCTCAGTCCTTCTACCTGTGCAATGGAAAGGGTTCCTGTGAGCAGGAAGTGGAGGGAGCCCTATGTTGGCTGAGTCTCCAACTCTGCCACATATCAGAGCTCCAGAAGAGCAAGCATCTCACTAGGGCAAGCTTCATCGGTGGGTCACCAGTACAGTCACACAGATCCCAGTGTGTGGAAGGGCCGAGCTCAGATGAATGTTCTGCTGCCACCATCCTGAAATCCTTAATCCTTTTCTAATAAGGAACCTCATATTTTAATTTTGCTCTGGGACCTGTAAGTTATGTCCTGATCCTGAAGCATCCGCCCAGCCCTGAGATGATACTGACAAACCCTGGCTAATATGGTCACCCAAGAGAGAGACAGGTTGAACAGTAAGACACTGATTCTGACCTTCTGGAGACCACACACCCCTGCACAATGAGAGGAACCCAGGAAATGTGGGCCCATCCGATCTCACAGGGGGCTTCTGCACAGCTCCCTGTGGTACAAAGCCCTTGTGGGGGCCAGGCGCAGTGGTTCATGCCTGTAATCTCAGCACTCTGGGAGGCCGAGGCTGGTGGATCACCTGAAGTCAGGAGTTTGAGACCAGCCTGGCCAACGTGGTGAAACCCCGTCTCTACTAAAAAATACAAAAAAAACATCTGGGCGTGGTGGCAGTCACCTGTAATCTCAGCTACTTGGGAGGCTGAGGCAGGAGAATCACTTGAACCCACTAGGTGAATGTTGCAGTGAGCCCAGATTGTGCCACTGCACTCCAGCCTGGGCAAAAGAGCAAGACTCCATCTCAAAAAAGAAAAAAACAAAAAGCCCTGTGGGGTGGACCCCATCTGACTTCCTGACCCAGATCCCTGTCCTTCATGAATACTTCTCCAAATCTTGCCCCCACTCCCAGTTCACTGACACTCCCTCAAATGTTCCCAGCCTCCACTCCCCCTTAGGCAGCTGTCCTTCACATGGGGTGGAGGAACAGAAGGCATTTAAAATGCCAAGGGGTCCCAGCCATCATAAATGGATCAGGGCTTTCGGATCCTGATTCACACAAACCAACTGCTACAAAGGCATTTTTGAATCAACTGGAGTACTTTGAATCTGAACGGTGTGTTAGGTAATACCCAGGAATTTGCCTTAATTTTGCTAGACGTGATAATGGCATATTATGTAAGAAAATGTCCGTGTGTTTTAGAGATGCGCGCTGAAGTATGTAGGGGTGAAATGACATGATGTCTGGAATTTGTTTTAAAATACTTCAGAAAAGTGGGGAGTAGATGAAATAAGTGTGACGAAACCTTAATAGTTGTTGAAGCTGGGTGATGGGTGCACAGCAGTTCATTATACAATTCTACTTTTGTGTATGCTTGAAACTTCTCAATTAAAAAAGAGGGTGGGGGTCATCAAGATAATTTGCTAAAAGTTTCCTGTAATGTTCCCAGAAGACTCCCCCCCAACACACGCGCGCGCGCACACACACACACACACACACACACTATATCTTTTAAGAACTTTCTCTAGTGGCCAACCCAGGCAGTCCCCCAACTGTAAGGAAGGCTTGTGTGTGTGCATATGAGCATATCACCCGAGAAAACCATCCACAGCTTCCATGACCAGAGGGGTCGTGACCCCTCCATGCCAAAAGATTAAGGACCTGCGATCCTACAGACGGGAGCCCTGTTTGAAGTCTGCGTTGCCCCTCACCTCAAACTGGTCACTGTGTGAAGTTGGCCTAGAATCCCCTGGCCCCTGGGAGCTCGTTCCTCCACCTGTAAAATGGGGCTGCAGAGCGGTCCACGCGGCCACTGAAGGACAAGGTGCTCAGGCCTCAAGGCCGCCCCCTGTTAAGCGATTCCCACTCGCAGCGCGGCCTCGACCCTCGCCCGAGACGCGCCCTCCGCGTCCCCACCCCCTCCAGGCCCTGGCCAGTCCACCTCCCGCTTGGGGCGGCAATTTGTCTCCTTTTGAACCCCCCGCCCCCGACGGGTTTCCCCCCTTTGATTCGCTGCCCGGAGGCTTCCCCCGCTTTGAAATGCAAACCCGCCTGGGCTGGGGCCGCGGGCGGCCTGGAGCTATAAAAGGCCTGGGTGGGGCGGGCGCGGCGGCAAGGCCGGCGAATTCAGGTGAGCGGTTGCTCGTCGTCGGGGCGGCCGGCTGCGGCGGCTCCAGGGCCCAGCATGCGCGGGGGGCCCCGCGGCCACCATGTATGTGGGCTATGTGCTGGACAAGGATTCGCCCGTGTACCCCGGCCCCGCCAGGCCCGCCAGCCTCGGCCTGGGCCAGCCCGCCTACGGCCCCCCGGCCCAGCCCCCGGCGCCCCCGCAGTACCCCGACTTCCCCAGCTACTCTCACGTGGAGCCGGCCCCCGCCCCCGCAACGGCCTGGGGGGCTCCCTTCCCTTCGCCCAAGGACGACTGGGCCGCCGCCTACGGCCCGGGCCCCGCGGCCCCTGCCGCCAGCCCAGTTCCGCTGGCATTCGGGCCCCCTCCGGACTTTAGCCCGGTGCCTGCGCCCCCTGGGTCCGGCCCGGGCCTCCTGGCGCAGCCCCTCGGGGGCCCGGGCACACAGTCCTCGCCCGGAGCTCAGAGGCGGACGCCCTACGAGTGGATGCGGCGCAGCGTGGCGGCCGGAGGCGGCGGTGGCAGCGGTAAGGACCCCTCCCTCGCCCTGCGCCTCTGGACCGGCAGGTGCTCGGGCGCGCCTCAGGCCGCCCCCTGTCTGACCTCTGCCCCGGCCCTGCTCGGGTTCCCGGGAGTGTGGACCTCCTGTCCACTCTCGCCCTGGGGTGCCCCCCAGGCAGCTCTCTGGGCTCCCTCTCCTGAGTCTCAGGCTGTCGGAGCCTGCAGCAGCACAGCCCAACCCTCTCTCTGTACAGATAGGGAAACCGAGACCCACTGCAAAGTGCGGAAATGCGCCTGCGGCCGCGGAGAAAAGCCTAAACCAGAACGCAGGCTCCCAGACTTCTGTCCCACACTCATTTAGCAACACAGACTCCGTGCTCTCCATCGGCTTCTTCCACTCCTAACCCAGCCAAATTTGCAAAGGCGGCAAACTCGCCCCAGAAGGGACGGTTCGCTAACTGTGCGAACAGGGCAGGTGACTTTGCTGGCCAGGGCTGAGTCTCCCCATCACACAGTCAAGAGATCGGTGGGTCATATCCTTCGGGCTGAAAAAGAGCCCTCTTTGGCCAGACCGGGGCAAGGGGTCTGTACCTTACCTTCCCAGAGTCCTCCCTGAACTCTTGACCCCGGGGGAGGGGAAGCGCCAGCAGTGCCAAGCGGGCTACTGTTTGGCTCCTGAGCCTGTGAACCTCCTGCCCCTAGGCAGGCCTCTCTGATCTGCCCTCTTCAAAGGCCGGGGAGGGGGCAGGACAAAGGGCCCAACTTTAATGACGGGCGGCTTGACCTCCCTTATGGGTCCCCCTTTGTCATGTAACTGGCTCTGTCCTGGTTCTGTAGTGACTCCTGCCGGCAGGAAAGTGAACACGACGTTCCATTGTCCCGACTGTGTCCGGCCTGTCCTGACAAAGGCCACCTGGCCTTGGGGGCGGGAAGCTGGCCTGCCTACCCTTTGATGTCCAGCCCCTCCTCCCCTTCCCCCAGCTGGGAATGAGCCTGGGACTTCCCCCACCTCCTCGTTCTCTTCACCCCCATCTCCCCACACACACCCAGCTTGCCTCAGGGCAGATGCTGGTTTCGGGGGCTTGATCAGGAGCTACAGGTTCTGGCCATAATCATATCCCCCTCTTGGAAGTCCCAGGGATACAGAACCTCCTATCTGCCTCCAGGGAGATACAGCGAACCAGGCCCTGCCACTTGTTTCTGTGGCCTTGATTAAATAACAGCGAATGTTTTGGAACACTTCCTAATGGACCAGGTACTGACTTAAGATCTTGCATGTATTCACCTATTTAACTCTTAAAACATCATAGTAGGTACTATTATCACCCCATTTAAGATGAAGAAACTAGGTCACAGAGAGGTTAAGTACTTGCATAAAGCTATGTAACCCAGAACTGGTGGGGCTGGGATTTGAACCCAGGCTGACTGACCACCAAGTCTGTGCTCTAATCCCCTACACAACAGCTCCTCTTGCATCAGTCATTGTTTCTGGCTTTAGTTCTCCCATCTGTGAAATTAGAGAAAGGGGTCCTGCAGTGGTTTGTAACCCTTGTTTAAGTTACAGAAGGACTCCTTTGAAACATCTGCTGAAAGGGACAAATCTTTTCCCTAGGAAAAAATGTTGTGTCATTGGACAGTTTCAGGGGTTCTGGAGGCCTCCAGAGGCATTATCTGTAAATCTGGGGTTAAGAACCCTGCATGATATGAGAAGAGTTGGCAGCACCAGTGCTCAGGCTCCTGCAGTTCTCAGTCTGCCTTTCCTGCTCCTCTGTTCCACTTGCTGCTTCCTGCTCATGGGGTGACTTTGGAGATGAATGGGGAAGTTCTCTATGGGTGGGGACTTGGTATGGGGAAAAGTAGTGTGCCAGTGGGTGTCAGAGGACTGGGGGATCCTGGAGGAGCTTCCATACGAATCACCTCATGTCTCTGGGCTGCTGAACCCAGCTCGGCCTCTGGTCTCAAAAGTTGCTTGAAAACTGTTGCCTGCAGGCAGATAAGTCTGCCCTAGGCAAAAAAGCATTTCCCCCCTTGCTCTCTCATAGTAGAGAAAAAGGCAGAAGGAGTTCTGGGGGTTCCTGAGGCTCCAGGAATGTTAGCTCCGTTCTGCAGAGGATGCAGGAACCCTGACCTTCCTGAAGCTAGAAGGTGCTGCCTGTCTTCCCGGGGCATCTGACTCTCTATTCAGTGCTTCTTAAGTGGGGGCAGAATTGGGTTGGGACTGTTGACTCTCCCTGAGATAGAGGCCAGCCTCTCCTGTCTCTGGCCTCTGTTTCTCCTTCTGGGCAATGAAGTCATAGGGTTTCCAGGAATGGTTCCTGTGCAATGCTGCTGTCCGGGACAGCTGAAGGAAGGTTAGTGCATGCCACTGCCCTCCCAAACCCCACTGGCACTGGCCACCAGGTCTTCAGCCTGCCACCAATCCTGGCCAGCCCCTTCTTCCCCTGTTTCTGAGCCTTGAGCATTCGAAAATGGACAAACTGGACAGTTAGAGACCACACATGTAGATGAGGACACCAAGGTACAGAGACTGTGAGGAATGTTCCAGTTTCACACAAGCGGGGCTAAACTGGGCTAGATGTCAGAAGAGTCGATTTAGAATTTTCTGATGGTTTCCCATCATGTGTAGGATGAACCCTACCCTCCTTCATGAGGTCTACAAGACAACAGCGTTTGCACCTGTCTGCCTCCCTGACCTCATCCCCAGCTGCTCTCACCTTGGCTTCCAAGCTCAAGCAACTCCAGCTTCTTTTAATTCCTGAGACCTGCCAAGTCCTACTGCAGGTCTTGTTCTCTCTTCTGGGAAAGCTGTTTCCCCTGATTCTTTGCAAGAGTGGATTCTGCTTACCCTTCAGATCTTAGCTTAATCGTCACCTCCTCTGTGAAGCCCTCCATCATTTCCCAAAGTGGACTCCTCGCTACACCCATGGCGAATCTTTGCTTTGTTTCCTTCAGAGCACGAATTCCTATCTACTCACTTCCTTACACTTGTTGTTTGTATGTTGTCTGTCCCATGAGGTCCAGAGCTATGTCTGCTTAAGCCACCACTGCATCCTGGCACCCAGCTCAGTGCATGGCATTTAGTAGGTGCCCAATATATTTTGTTGAGTGAATGAAGAGGGCAAGTATAAAGACAGAAGACTTTTCTGGGGAACAGGGGAGTGTGTGAGATCTTGGCCTTCACACAGGTTTCTGGGGTCCCAGCCCTAGGATTGGGACCTGTGACTGTCCAGCCAAGCAGTTCAGGTCAATGGAAACCTGGCTGCCTCTGTTTCTCCACTTGGATGGTACCCTGACTCACATGGGGAAGTGCATTTGCTGAGGCTGGGACTAAGACTTCAGTTTCTTCTAAGGAGGCGGGTGGTGACAAAGGGAAAGATGAGAGAGAAGCTGTTGGGCTTCAATTGGTCTTCAATTTCTAATGAGAATGTTAGTCGGTTCCGATTGATCAGTATCGCTTGAGTGAGGCCGGGATAGGAAATGACTACAAGGTGTTCTTTTTTTTTTTTCCTTCTCTCTTTGCATTTTCACGAGGAACCTTTTAAATATCAGCATTTTCATTAGGAGGGTTACAGATCACCCCTCTGTGGAAGGCTCAGCCTCCAATTCCTTTGAATAAACTGCTCCACAGGTTAATGGCCCATTGGGGTGGCTGAGGTCTCAGGACTAGGGAGAGGTTCACTGGGATGCGACTGGGAGCAAGATTTAGATCTTGGTCCAACTCCTTCAGCTTTCTGATGGGGAAACTGAGGCCCACGAAGGGGATGAATGCTCCTCTCCCCCCACATTGCAGGCCCTCTCCCTTGGCTCATTGCCACAGCCACCAACCTGCTCTCTCACTTTCAGCCTCTCTGTGATGCTCCAGCTTCTAAAACCATTGCCATATTTACCTTCTCAAGGTACCTGCCCTGCTCAAGAGCATTCTGTGGCTCCCTACTGATATGGAATTGCCATTTCATTATTGTAAAATCTAGCTCCATTACTGTGGCATTCAGAGCCTTCTTGAGAGCTGGCCTCAACCATCTATTGAAGCCATTCTCCTACCTCGCCTAGATAAGGCAAGTTAAGAGCCAGGGCTGGGGAGTCTCAGACCTGGCATTGCATTTCCTTAAGAAGCTGTATAGCCTCAGGCAAATTAATTAGGATCATTTCTCTGAGCCTGGGCTTCTTCCATTGTAACAGGATAATAATAGGATTGCATCTCGGAAGAGACTGTAAAGTACAGCTCTGCAGCTGGCACACAGTAGGTGCTTAGGGCATCGGTGCCTGTGACCACCTCTACCAGACCTCAGCAGGTGCACTGGAGCACACACCTCACACTCCCTGCCTCTCCAGTCTGGTCCCTAGGCCTGCATTGCCCTCCCTTCCCTCTCCTGCATCTTCACTAGCTCAAATGCTGCTCCTTCTCCAAGGCTGTCTCCTGTAGGAAGCCCTCCCTTATTTCTCCCTCCCAAGCACTGTATCAGGCCCTTGTTTTCATGACACTTACCACTGACTGTCTACTTTAACTGTCTTGTTTATCCCTGCCACCTACCAACCCGCCCTGCCTCACACATAGTAGGAGCTCATGATAGAGCAAATAACTGTGGCATTAGCCAAATATTTACTATGGGCCAGGCACTGTGCCAGGAACTTTGTGTGGGTGATCTCACTTAAGTCTCATGATGGACCTGTGTGGTGTAAGGATCTAGTATTAGACTCATTTTATAGATCAGGATAACAAGACTGAGAGAGGGCAAGGGGGCCTGCCCAAGCTCACACAGCTAGGACACGGCAGCACAGTGTTCACACCCAGTCTACAGCCCAGCAAGTGTCTGTGAAATAAAGCCACACACTCAGGAAGGGGAACCTAAGACCCCCCTTCCCCATGGGCATCCCAGCCAGGTGGAGGGGAAGGGAGGCTAGGCAGGGGAGGTACTGTAAGAGGCTGCTGGAGGAGGGAGCCCAGCAGGGGCTAGGTTGTTAAGAACCGATTCTCCAGGCAGAAGCTACATTTGACACCTCATTGCTCAGATGTAGCTGGGAAAGG